ATGCATTACACAGAGAGGGAAATGCCCATCGGAATCACAGACCCTCACTCCCTCCCTCCCTGATCTCTCTGCTGCTGCTGCTGCTGGAGAGCCTGGGTTTGAGGAGGGGGGGAATCCTTCCAACCGACAGAGCTGGAGGGAAGCCCATGTCATATCCCTGACCCCAAGAAACGGGGGCCACCCTCCGCTCTCCTTTCCCCTGACGGCACCGGTGGAAATTTGCACCTTGTCCTTTCCTCCCGTGTTAATTTCATACACCCCTCGGCCCCATCTCTGCGGCTTCTTGCCACGGTCCGACCAAATCAGGTTGTCTAAAAACCCTGCATGGAGCACATTGAGGAAAAATGCTCTCGGTCTCTTTCCATGGTAACATCTTTCTTTCTGGATCCTCTGTTTCCAATGGATTGTGGCCTGCAGATTGCATTTTCCTGCAGAGTTCATTGTTTGAAGTCACTAATAACAAAGATAATACCTATGTGAAACACCAAATACTTTAATGAGCACTTCATAAATTCTAAGAATTTGCAGATATCAGTGAACAGCTGAGATGGACCCCATGGGAGGAGCCCCCCCACCCCGTGCTCTTGAGTTGCTCATTTCCAGCCGCTTCTGACTTTGCATTCCAGCCCTGAACAGCCAGCCTCTAAGCTTGCATTTGGGGCTGGGCGCCAGTCTTTGCAAAGGCAAGCCGAGCTTGCAGAAGCCAGAAAGGCTGGTTTCTGAGCAGGAGCTGGGCAGCTGGAGGAGGGATGGCTGCCAAGCTCAAGACTCGGCCAGCTTGGGGGGATGCCGGGTGGTCGGCTCAGCTGCTAGCCAGTCCTCTCCTGCCTCAGCTTCACAGACCCCGTGGTTTCAATGGACCTCCTGCGAGCCGTTCTGCAGCCCAGCATCAACGAGGAGATCCGAACGGTGTTTGGTCGATACATGAAGGTAAGCGCTGCAAGAGCCAAGCCGGAGCTGTTTGGACTGACAGCCTTGGGAAGGTGGCCGTGGGCTGAGCAATCCTGCCGGCAGCCCCCTCAGGGAGGCCGGAGAGAAAAGCAGGGTCCGCTCAAGGAGGGGGAGCCCAAGGGGGGGGCTGCAGCCCATGAGGATGATATTTGCAGTGTTGGCCTGCCGCCTGCTGCAGAAACAAAAAGCCAGTTGGGGAGGGGCCGCGTGTTGCGGGAGGTGGCTCTGGTCCGTTCCACAGCCGGGCTGTTCCCTTTTTCCAGTTCTTCCAGAAGGCGGCAGGCAATGTCCGAGAGAATGTCGGGGAAGACGTGGACGTGGAGCAGCTCATCCGTGAGACTTGCCGGAGCTGTCTGGAACAGGTGGGGGGGGCAACCACTCAAGCAAGAGGGCAGGAGCTCTGGGAGGGCAGCTGGAAAGGGGGTTGCAGGAGCTGCCTCTGCCTTGGATTGTGTCCTGGCTGTGGGTCGCGGGGGGGGGGACGAAACACACCACTGCTCAACAACAGAAAGGCTTCATCTGGGGTGAAGGATTCCCCAGCACCTCATTTCCTTCCCTGCTCCTTGGAAGTCCACTCCGGCTCCTGGGGGACATCATGCCATACCCATTGCTTGCAGGGCTTTGATTAGCTTTCGGATTCCCGTGGTGGTGGTGGTGGTGGTGGTAAAATGTTCCTTTATGGGATGCTGAGAAATCAACCGGGTGGGGTGTTGTGTGTTTAGGGCCCTGCAATGCCCAGCTGCAGGGGGTTCAGGCCTTGCCTCTCACAGGGGTTCTGCAGCTGCTCAACGTGGCTGTTCAAGAGGGGGCTGGGTCTTCGGTTGCCTTGGAGCTTCTTTCCCGACAGACACGTCTGCCCCTTTCCTTTCTCCACAGGCCAAGCTTCTGTTTTCTGATGGCAAGAGATCGGCTGCCCGGCTGCCCCATGAAGTCCCACCCATGAAGGTAGAAGGGGGATGGGGCTTGTTTTCTCTCTCTCTCTCTCTCCTTTATTTTATCCCGAGGAGCCTTTTCCTGCAAGTGGGGCCTAAACGGCTTCAATGCAGACAGAGCCTCTCTCTCTCTCTCTCTCTCTCTCTCTCTCTCTGTGGTGTGGTGTGGTGTGAGTGAGTGTGAGCTCACCTGCTTTTCCTCCTGACGCTCTCTCTCCTCTCCTCCCTGACCAGCGCACGAAGCCCATGGAGGAGGAGATGAGCCAGCAGGGAAGCCCCATCCCCAGAAAGGTGGGTGACCCTGAGCGGGGAGGGAGACGTGCTGTTCCTGCATAGCCCCCCGTTTCATCTTGGGGGGAGGGGAAAGGAGGGATACGGGGGCACCCACCCATCGCCTCCCTTTGCTTCTTGAGGCTGCCCTGCCTTCAAGAGTTGCGCGAGGCTGGGTTTCAGAACAAGAGGGGAGCCTCTGCTCCACACCTACTCTGGCCACAGTGGGAGTAGATGTTAGCCCAGAGGCATTAATGGAAGCTGTCGCTGTTTGCAGAGGAAGGGTCGCCCTCCAGGACAGAGCCAGCCGAGCGATCGAGGGGCTTCGAATGTGGGCACGTAAGTGAGGGGCTCTAAGGCTCCCCACCATGGAGCGTGTCTCCCAGGGGGCAGCTGTTCCTGGGAATCTCTCCTCTGCGATGCGCCTGAGGCAGAATGGGCCAGGGGTGAGCAGGGAAAAGCCCAGGATGGGCCACCCCTGGTTTGGAGCCTTTCGGGGTTGGGAGAAGCTGCTGCCCCATGGACTGCCAGTTTATTTATTATTATTTTTTTTATTTACAAGATTTTTTAGCTGCACCATCACCAGTAGTCTCTGAGCGGCGTACAACAATATTAAACCTTTAAAAACATTAAAACCATTAAAATAGGCAATATTATAATAATGTTCTATATTAAAAACAATCATTATAACATTAATATTAATAAATCCTGCTGCTCATAGGGCCAGCTAAAGAATACTTTTTAATTAAAATGTTTAATGCTTTAGTTATGCCCTTCCTGGAGGCAAATGCCGTGAAGGTCCATAGTTCAGCCTCCTTCTGTCTTTGTAGGTGGAAAACCAAGTCCTCGGAGCCACTGCAGAGGGACGGTCCCAAGGTATGCCCTGCACATTGGGCTTCTTGTGGGATTCGCTGGCCCCACCTGGAGGGCGGAGGGCAGGGGCTGGAGGCCAGGGTGGTCTTGAAGGCAGGAGGGCAGGTGGCTGAGCAAGGAAGCCCAGCCCCCTATGCAGAGGCACTAGGGTCGGCTTCTCTGGGTTGTTGGGAGATGCAAAGCAGGAGAACAAGCTCTTCCCCCCTGCCTGCCCCCCAGCCTTAGTTTTGAGCTCCCAGAGGACATCAGACTGCCCGCTCTGGGGAGCAGAAGATGGGGCCGGACGCCACCTTCCCTCAGTCCCACCGCAGGGCTCTTGTGCGCTCTCGGCCTCTGGATCGGAGAGCTTTGCTGAGCATCCCCATCGGCTTTCCCGGGTGGGCTGCAGTTTGGGCTGGGCAGGGCAGGGCAGGGAAGGCCAGCCCGTCACCGCCAGAGCTACAACCCGGCAACACACCGTAAGCAGACCATGCACGGAGCGGGGCTGTCCTCAGGGCTTCTTCTTCTCCCTTCCCTTCCCTTGCAGTGGGACCCCTTGCGGATCACCGAGGCCACTGCCTTTGTGCTCGGATCGAGAGCCAACAAGTAAGTGGCCGCCTGGCAGGTGAGAGCAGAGACCGCTGGGCGGCTGAAGGGGTGCCCCCCCCGGGACTAAGGAGACCCTTCGCTGTCTGGGTTGGACGTGTGGGGAGGGCTTTGCCACTGCGGCCCGAGAGAAGGAAAGGGAGGTGTCTCATGACTGGTTGCAAAAGTGTAACCCTCTCCCCACCCCCCATGTTTCTAATGCAGAGCCCTAGGGATGGGAGGGACCAGAGGCAGACTCTACATCAAGCACCCCCACCTGTTCAAGGTCAGTGAACTCCCTTCTGGGGTGGGGGTGGGGGAAGGGATGGACAGGGAGATGCCAGGCTGTGGCACCAATCGTCAGCCGCCGTAATCAGCCAGCTCGCTGTTTGTAGTGGTCACCCCTTCTTTCCACACCAAGAGCATGCCACCAGCTGCCCTGTGCCAGGTTTGGTGCTGTTATTTAAAAGCATTTCCAAGGGGATCATCTTTAGATTTGTTTTTCTTAAAATGCGCTGCGTGTCCCGAATAAAAGAGGACATCGCAATCTAGCGTACTGTCTAGACAGAAACGGTTGTTCTTTTGCAATGAGGAATGTTTCAAAGTAGATTAACAGTGGTTGTGATATGTTACAATTTTAAATATAGTGGTGCCTCGCTTAGCGAGCGCACCGTATAACGACAAATCCGTATAGCGATCCCCTTTTTCGGGATCGCTATACGGAGCACCCAATCGCCGCACCTCGCTTTGCGACGATTGGGGCGTCCGGCGGCCATTTTGGAGCCGCCGATCAG